AAAGGTGAAGAATATCAAGGGAGCCAATGAAAAAAAAATGTGAAGGAAGGTGGTCTAGCAGTACCAGATCTCAAACTGTATTACAAAATGGGTAATCATCAAAACAATCCAGTACGGGCTAAGAAATAGAGTTGTGGATCATTGGAATCGATTAGGTAAAAGACAATAATAATCTAATGTTTGTTAAACCCAAAGATCCAAGCTTTGAGGAGATGAACTCACCTGAACAAAAACTGCTAAGAAAAGTGGAAAGCAATTTGGCAGAAACAAGGTAGAGACTAGGGGTGGAGAACCTGTGGCCTTTTAGATCCTTAAGTGTAGCCTTTTGACTGAATCCGAATTTTATAGAAAAAATCTTTTTTTCCATGGATTTCCACAAATCCATCCATGGATTCAGTCCAAAGCCTGCATTTAAGGATCTATAAGGCCATGTGTAGTCTCAAGGCCGCAGGTTCCCCAACCCTGGTATAGACCAACATCTCACACTGTATGCCAAAATAAGGTTAAAATGGGTACATGATTTAGGCATAAAGAGTAATACTATAAACAAATTATGAGAGCATTAAATAGTTTACCTGTCAAATCAATAGGTAAGGAAAGAATTTATGACCAGATAAGAGAGTATCATGTGATGTAAAGGTTGATTTTGATTATATTAAATTAAAAAAGATTTTGCACAAACAAAACCAATGCAGCCAAGATTAGAAGGAAAGAAGAAAACTATGGAGAAATTTTTTACAGCAAGGTTCTCTGATAAATGGCTCATTTCTCAAATATGTAGGAAATTGAGTCAAATTTATAAGAATACAAGTCATTCCTCAATTGATATAAATGGTCAAAGGATATGAATATGAACAAGCAGTTTTCAGATGAAGAAATCAAAGTTATCTATAGTCATGTGAAAAAATGCTCTAAATCACTACTGATTAAAGAAATGCAAATTAAAACAACTCTGTGGTACAACCTCACACCTATCAGATTGGCTAATATGACAGAAAAGTAAAATAACAAATGTTGGAGGAAACGTAGGAAAATTGGGACACTAGTTCATTGTCAGTGGACTTGTGAACTGATCCAACCATTCTGGAGAACAATTTGGAGCTATAACCAAAGGGTTATAAAATTGTGCATATCCTTTGACCCAGCAATAGCACCAGTAGGTCTCTATCTCAAAAAAGGAAAAGGAAAAGGAGAAGGACCTGTATATACAAAAATATTTATAGTAGCTCTTTTTGTGGTGGCAAAGAATTGGAAATTGAGAAAATACCTATCAAGTGGAAAATAACTGAACAAGTTGTGGTATACGATTGTGACAAAATACTATTGTGCTTATAAGAAATGATGGAGTGCTCCAGAGAAACCTGGAAAGACTTACATGAACTGATGCAAAGTGAAGTGAACAGAACTAGGAGAACATTGTACATAGTTCAGCTTGGGTGGTACTTCCTCTTGCTCATCCTTTAGAGCATGTGATGATTTTCTCTAACTGCAGATGAACCAGATCACTCCCCTGATCAATAAAATCCAGTGCCTCCTATTGTCTCTAGGATAATATAAATTGTTTATGGCCTCAAAATCTGGCCCCACTCTATCTTTTCACCCTCAGTGTATATAACTCACCCTCCCACACTTTGCAATCAAGTCAAACTGGCTTTCTCTCTGCTTTCTTACAGGACGGTCTTGGTGCCTTTGAAATGGACATGTCCTATGACTGCAATGTTCTCATTCCTCAGCTTCACCTCATAGATTTTCTCTCTTACTTTAAGATGAAGCTCAAGTATTGCCTTCTAGATGAAGTTTTTCCTGATCCCTTCAACTAACTAATGTCCTTCTTCTGAAACCACCCTGTATTTAACTGCTTTTGGTTTGTTTTTATTCTCTCTACATTTATTCTCTATATACATAGCTATTTCCCCTATTAGAATGTAAGCTCCTTAAGGGCAAGGATTGTCTTTGTTTTTGTTTGTATGTGTCTCCCCAGCACTTAGCATAGTGCCTGGCACACAGTACATGTTTAATGCTTCTTACCTTGCCTCTTACTCACCAAATCTGATGGATTATTCTTAATCCTCATCCTCCAGTCCTCTGCAGAATCTGATACAGTTTACCATGCTCTCCTCCTAGATATTCACACTTTTCTGGGTTTTCATTACAATGTTCTCCCTTGGTTTTCCAACTTGTCTGACCACCCCTCAAATTCCTTTGCTGGATCATTATCCATGTCAAGCTTCCTAACTAAGGGACTCTGTGCTGGGTACCCTTCTCTCTCTACACTCTCTCACTTGATCTCACCAGCTCCCATAGCTTTAATTATACACACACACACACACACACACACACACACACACACACACACACATATCACATAAGATGACTTATATCCATCCAGATACACACAGCATACTCTATTCACTCTACTGAGCTCCATTCTCACATCTCCGAATGCCTATTGGATATTTTAAACTGAATTTCCAATAGGTTTCTTAAGTTCAACATGTCCAAAACAGATTTTATTACCTCCCCCCCCAAAAAAAGCCACTTCTAATCAGAGTACCATCATTATTCCAGTCCCTCAGGTTCTAAATCCCAATCTTAGCTTCAATTCCTCACTCTCCCAAATAGCCAATCAGTTGCCAAATTTTATTGTTTCTACCTCTACAATTTCCTTCCCATCCATTACCTTCTCTTTAAACACGCAGTCACCACAGTATTTCAAGCCCTCATCACCTCTCAGCTAGGCTACTGGAATAGCTTCTCAACTGGTCATCTTGCTTCGAGTGTTTTACCTCTCTAGTCCAACTTCAAAAGCTGCTGATTTGGTTTTTCTAAAGCAAATATTTGACCTTGTCATGCCATAATGAATAAACTCCAGTGGCTGACTCCTACAATTTAAGCTCCTCTGTTTGGTATTTCAACCCGTTCACAACCTGGCCCCAACCTACTTTTCTAATCACATATATTATTCCTCTTCATGCACTCTTCAGTTTAGCCAGATTGGCCTTCTTGCTATTCCTCACACTTGTCAGTATATAGTTTCTTTGCATTTATAAGGTTGTCTTCCATGCCTGAAAAATACTCTTCTTATCTTAATCCTGTCTCTCAGAATCTTGATTTCCCTTCAAGTGCCATCTTTTACATGAAACCTTTCCTGATCCCTCCAGCTACTGGTACCACTCCACAAAAAAAATTGCCTTGTAATTATTTTGTATATACTTTATATATACAGCTATGTGTATATGTTGTCTCCTCCCTATGGAATGTAAGTTAGCTTGTTCAGAGTAGAGACTACTTCATTTTTTTTTCATCCCTAGCACCTAGCACAGCACCTGGCACATAATACCTATTTGACAAATTTGCTTGGTGAATGATTGGCTGATTTATTGAAATATTTAATACTTTGTAAATTACTGTACAAATATGAGCTACTGTTTTATACATATAAAATACCAAAAAATATGAAAGCAATAGTTCAAATTTCAATAAAAATACTTCACTCCATAAATAACATTCCAGAAGCTGTGAGGGATACAAATGAAGAGCTCCTCCCTAAAACCGTTTACAATGTAATACACACAAAAATACCAACACAAATGAAATAATTAATGAACAATCCAGGATGGTAAATCAACGCCAAATTGTGTGGTTCATACTTTACCCTCAAGTGGGAGTTCAAAGGAGTTGAAGTTCAAAAAGGACTAGACTACTCAAAGAAAGGTTGATGGAGGAGGTAGAATTGGGTCTGTAAGAATTTACTTTTTGCCTTTGTGTGTGTGTGTGTGTGTGTGTGTGTGTGTGTGTGCGTGTGTGTGTGTGAGGTAATCAGGGTTAAGTGACTTGCCCAAGGTCACACAGCTAGTGAGCGTACTGTGTTTGAGGTCAGACTTGAACTCAGGTCCTCCTGACTCCAAGGCCAGTGCTCTATCCACTGCACCACCTACCTGCCCCAGGAAGAATTTACAAAAGAAAAGCACAAGCAATAACATGAGCAAAGGCACAGATGTAACAATAAGCATAATGTGGTCATAAGATGATCAGGACATTATGGACAGCTAAGAGATGCAGTGGATAGAGTGCCAGACCTGCAGTCAGGCAGATTCATCTTCCTGAGCCCAAATCTGGATTCTGACACTTCTTAGTTGTGTGACCCTGGGCAAGTCACTTAACCCTGTTTGCCTCAGTTTCCTCATCTGTAAAATGAGCTGGAGAAGGAAATGGTAAACCACTCCAGTATCTTTGCCAAGAAAACCCCAAATGGGGTCATGAAGAGTCAGTTGGACATGACTGAAACAACTGAAAAACAAGGACACTGACTTGATAGAAAGAAGCAGTCATATCTGGGAATTCTGGAAAATAAAATTAGATGAAAAAGCAGAGCAGATAGAATGTAAATTATGAAGGGTGTTGAAAGCCACAGAGAGGAGCTTACACTTAACAGAGCTTTACACTTTTGTTTTGTTTTTTTAAATAATGATATGATGAAAGTAACACCAAAGGAAGAGTAGTCTGACAACAGTACATAGAACATACTGGAGATAATGTTTAGGGAGTCTAAATAGAAGACTACTGCAGAAACACAAGTATGATATTATTGCGGCCTAGACTAGGGTGATGACAATGGAAATTGAGAAAAAAAGTCAGCTATAAGAAATATTTTGAAGGAAGATTCAATAGGATACTGTGATTAGCTTGATACAGAGTTTAAAGGAGGATAGGTCAGAAATGACTACAAGGAAGGAGAAAATACGGAATAAAATTACTATCTTTAAGCATACTAAGAATGACCTTTTTTTTTTTTGGTTTGGGTTTTTTTGGCTAGGCAATGGGGTTAAGTGACTTGCCCAGGGTCACATAGCTAGTAAGTGTTATGTGTCTGAGGCCGGATTTGAACTCAGGTCCTCCTGAATCCAGGGCTGGTGCTCTATTCACTGCACCACCTAGCTGCTGCAAGAATGACCTTTTAATATGCATATCTGAAAAGGCTTAGCACAGCAGTTTCTTACCTTTTGGTACTTCAGCAAACCGAGACAGGACAGTAACAAGTAGGCTTTCTGCATTTATCAATAGAATATGACCCTCTTCACAGCCAACATATAGTTCATTTGTTGGGTTCCAACAGTGTACAGTAGGATGAACCAAGGGATGCAAATCATCTTTAGGCTTAAATAAAACATTTTTAAAATTTCTGTCAAAAACTACCAAATATATTAGAGGTTTGAAAATAAATTCATACCTAAGAATTTTTGCACATAAAAAAGTAGAGGTGGTTAAGGAACCAAGGTGGGAACCTCATCTGGGTAATGGTTGCTAAGAAAAATAGGATTTCATGAACTTTCTACACTGATGAAGAACTGACCACTACTGGAGAGAGAGGGGGAACAGGAAATATCAGGGTGCAGAGATGCAGCCACTGGAGGAAGGGAACACATTATCATAAGTGTTGTCTAGGGTGGGAACAGGCAGAAAGGCATTCATCTGGGGTAATACTGCTTGGAGTAAGAGAGTAAGCATGTCCACGAAAAGTTGCTAATGCCTTCTAAATTTTAGTGCTTTGTCACCTCACCCTAGTTATGTTTCAATTTACAACATTTCAAAAATCATTAGTCTTTCCTGCCCTCAAACTCTTTTCATTTGGCCTATCCTGAATCTCACTTAATCATTTCTAATTCTCTGATCCCTAGCTTCATTATGCTAAGAGAAAATAAGTATCTGCTTATGAAAATACTCAAGAAGTCCTTGTTTGCTGACTCTTTTCAATTCAAATGTACCTTTAAATCTAAGAAAATTCTCAAGCTGTAGTGATTACTTTTGAGCAAATTATTTCTTTTTATCTTCTTTTATTTTCATAGCCATTTGTCCTATGTGTTGTTGTGGAGAGAAAATCCTACTAAATTCTAGGCTGAAGTTGTGTTATGCTAAATTCAAACAGAGAATAGTTAAAATGATGCTAATTACCTCTATAATCTGGTTAATGGTGGTAACCTACATGATTTTGATCCCATAAAAAACTGTCAAAGGAGCATGTACAGATCCTGTGGTCATGTACTTAGAAAAAGACTCATGGATGTGGAATATCAACAACATATTTTGGGGCCCAGCATTATATAAATGCACTAGCTGCCTTTAGTCCTACAGCATATGAGAGAAGAATTCTTTCCTTTGTCACAGAGAGATACTGGGTGATAATAACACGACAAAGTAGACAGTACACTAACTTGTGTATTCCAGTCCTAACTCTGCCACTAGCTACCTGTATGATCTTGGACAAATCATTTCACCTGTCTCTCTAATCCCAAATGTCTTAATCTGTAAAAATGAGGTTAGAACTAATTATCTCTAAGGTCTCTTTTGGTTTTAAAATTATATGAATCTAATTATATTAACCTTTTAGATATAAGACTAAGAATGTTACTTGACCTTTCATGTGATACTATGATAATTGATAGAGGAGGAATTTCTGCCAGAACACCCTTACTTTGTAAGCTGGGTTAGTTCTTTTCCTTAAAAGGTGTTGAAACTGTCCTTGAGACTTAATTGCCATCAGCTCTTAGTCTTCTGAATATAATACTATTGCTCCTCATTGACTAGAGGAAGACCAGCAAGGGCACCACAGAAGCAGGAGAGCTACAGTAAGCCGAATCTATTCAAGGTCCTTGCTGAATATAGTTATTAAATATCCTTCTCTCATCATCCTGCAAGATGCCATCAGCCTTGGTACTCCACTTCGTCACTACATTTTGCCCTTCTGATAGAAAGGGGGACATCTCATTTTGCATCTGACTGCACTACTCTAGGACTTCTCTCACTTTTCCACTCAAGTACCTCCCTCTCTCCCATGTTTATGTATTTTTCTTCCTCCCATTAGACTGCAAGGTCTTTGAGGGTAAGGGCTATCTTTTTTTTTTCATATCTGATCCCTAGCTCAATGCCTGGTACATAGAAGTCACTTAATAAGTTTAACTGACTCTTGACTATTCCTCTATTATGCCTAAGTAAATCTCATTTTGTTAGTTGTCAGATCTTCTATGAATGTTTCATTCTGTTCCCAGTATCAAACCTAAACTGGTACAGGATTGGACAAAGTCAGATCTTTCTTACAATACCATTATTTTAAAATTTCACTAAGAACAAAATAATAATTTAATTTTGACATTAATGCTATATTCTAATGGGTCAAAAATGTTTAGTAAATATTGAATAGAAAAGGCTTTCTAGTCACAAACGGCTGAGAGGATCAAAAAGAAGCCACATTCCTCATACACCTCACAAAAAGTGAGAAATAGTAGGGCACAGCCAAGATGGTGGAGTAAAAGCAGTGACTTATTTGTCCTCTCCCCCAAACCCCTCCAAATACCTGTAAAAAATTTATCTAAACAAATTCCAGAGCAACAGAACCCACAAAAAGATGGAGTGAAACAAATTTACAGCCCAAGACAAACTGAATGGTTGATTGGAAAGGTCTGTTGTGCTGGGCTGGGAGAGGAGTGCAGTTGAGTGTGGGCCAAGCAAGCAAAGACTAGGCCTCAGCAAACCTAGAGCAGGCCTCATGGTACTGAATCAAGGGGAGCTATGGTGGTTTCCAGACTTCTCAACCCACAAATGCCAACAACAACTTAGAAGGTCAGTAGGAAAGGTCTGAGAGAGGAGCTCAGTCTGGCCCCAGTCCTGGCACAGCCCCACAGCTGCTTCTGGAGCTCTCAGGCCACAGATGGAGGGGAGATCAAGAGGCTGATCAGAGGGGAATTGCAGGGATTTCTTTGCCGGTGCTGAGGCAGGATTCTTTTGCTTTGCCCGTGCTTGGATCTGAGTTGCAGTCCTGGGTGGCAGTCCTGGGGCAAGGAGGAGGGCTGGGGTGGCAGAACTTGTGGCCATGGTAGAGAGGGAATCTTCTTCATAGTTCCAACGCAGAAAAGAGTGCTTATGTTCACTCATAGACCAGAGCACAGGCCAGGAAAGGAGTAAACACCTCACCCTTGATCACAGCATCTTGGAAGAACTGAAAATTTGCAGCTCCCTAGAAATATTTCTGAAAACAGCCGCCCAAAACCCCTAAAGCTCGGGACAATACATTCTCCACACTGGAAACATATTTTTTCTACCTTAACAAAGAGTTTAAAACTCAAGTAATTGGCCAGGATCATGAGCAAGCAGTGCAAAAAGAGTCAGACTATATTATCTCACTTTGGTGACAAAGAAGATCAAAATATACAACCAGAAGAAGACAATGAAGCCAAAGCTCCTACATCCAAAGCCTCCAAGAAAAATATGAATCAGTCCAAGGCCATGGAAGAGCTCATAAAGGATTTTGAGAAGCAAGTAAGAGAAGTAGAGGAAAAACTAGGAAGAGAAATGAGAGTGATTCAAGAAAATCATGAAAAAGAGTCAACAGCTTGCTAAAGGAGACCCAAAAAAATACTGAAGAAAATAAAACCTTAAAAAATAGACCAATCTAAATGGCAAAAGAAGCCCAAAAAGCCAATGAGAAGAATACCTTAAAAAAGCAGAATTGGCCAAATAGAAAAGGAAGTCCAAAAGCTCACTGAAGAAAACAATTCCTTAAAAATTAGAATGGAGCAAATGGAAGCTAATGACTCTTTGAGAAATCAAGAAATTATAAAACAAAACCAGAAGAATGAAAAAATAGAAGACAATGTGAAGCATCTCAATGGAAAAACAACTGACCTGGAAAATAGATCTAGGAGAAATAATTTTTAAATTATTGGACTACCTGAAAGCTCTGTTCAAAAAAGAGAGCCTTGATATCATCTTTCAAGACTTTATCAGGGAAAACTGCCCTGATATTCTAGAACCAGAGGGTAATATAGAAATTAAAAGAATCCACTGATCACCTCCTGAAAAAGATCCTCAAAGGAAAATTCCTAGGAATATTGCAGCCAAATTCCAGAGTTCCCAGGTCAAGAAGAAAATACTGCAAGCAGCCAGAAAGAAACAATTCAAGTATTGTGGAAACTCAAACAGGATAACACAAGATTTAGCAGCTTCTACATTAAGGGATGGGAGGGCTTGGACTATGATATTCCAAGGTCAAAGGAGCTAGGATTAAAACCAAGAATCACCTACCTAGCAAAACTGAGTATAATCCTTCAGGGGAAAAAATTGACATTCAGTGAAATAGAGGACTTTCAAGCATTCTTGGTGAAAAATAGAGCTAAATAGTAAATCTGACTTTCAAATACAAGACTCAAGAAAAGCACAAAAAGGTAAACAGAAAAGGGAAATCATAAGGAACTTATTAAAACTGAACTGTTTACATTCCTACATGGAAAGATGATATTTGTAACACATGAGATCCTTTTTAGTATTAGGGTAGTTGGAGGGACTATATATAGACAGAGGGCAAAGGATGAGTTGAATATGAAGGGATGATACCTAAAAAATAAAATTAAGAGGTGAGAGATGATTGTACTGCGAGAAGGAGAAAGGGAGAGGTAGAATGCAGTAAATTATCTCACATAAAAGAGGGAAGAAAAAGCTTTTACTGTGGAGTGGAAGATAGGGAGGGGAGAGGGAATGAATGAATCTTACTCCCATCAGATTTGGCTTAAGGAGGGAATAACATATACACTCAATTGGGTATAGAAATCTATCTTACCCTACAGGAAAATAGGAGGGAAGAGGATAAGAGAGCGGGAGATGATAGAAGGAAGGGCAGATTGGGGGAGGGAGTAATCGGAAGCAAACACTTTTGAGGAGGGACAGGGTCAAAGGTGAGAATAGAGTAAATGGGAAGTGGAATAGGATGAAAGAAAATATAGTTAGTTCTTCACAAGATAGCTATTATGGAAGTGTTTTGCATAACTACACCTATAGAACCTGTATCAAGTTGCTTGCCTCAGTGAGGGTGGGTGGGGTGGGAGGAAGGGAGAGAATTTGGAATCCAAAGTTTTAAAAACAAATGTTAAACATTGTTTTTTACATGCAACTGGGAAATAAGATATACAGGCAATGGGGTATGGAAATCTATCCTGCCCTGCAGGAAAATAGAAGGGGAAGTGGATAAGAGAAGGGGGGGCAGTGATAGAAGAGAGGGCAGACCAGGGGGAAGGGGTATTCAGAATACACACCATCTTGGGGTGGGAGGAGGGGAGAGATGGGGAGAAAATTTGGAACTCAAAATCTTGTGGAAGTGAATGTTGAAA